AAAAAAAAAAAAAAAAAAAAAATTGGCTTACCACCATTACGGTATATCAATTACAAAATATTTAACAATAAAATGAATACAGCAAAAATAGTTACAGAAATAAAAAATTCAATTTTCAATTTTATTTTTTCTTTTTTTAACATCGTTACTTTGTACAAAAAAATAAATAATTTTTTTTTTTTCCAAAAATATATTCTAAATTTAAAAATATATACAACTGAACGTTGCAACAGTTTTTCACTAATAAATGTGGTCAAAATAAAACTGCATAATTGAATATCGTTTTGTTGAAAGCCCAAATTTTAAATGATCGAATAAGGAAGAAAAGAAAAAGACATTTCTTACAGATGTTTTATCAATTTTACTCTATTTACAGTTCAAAAAAAAACATAGAAAAACAATGTCAAATTTTTTCTTCTTTTTGACCTTCTCCCCTTTCCCATAAAAAAAAAGGAGAGGAAATACTGTTGTGAGTAAAAAAATTGTGGAATTTAGTTGGTGATCTTCAATGAATCTTTTACCTGCATTTTTTTTTTTGCTCGGATAACAGTTTATTGTATAAACTTTACCGTCATAGTTTATTGTATGCCATTGTGGTTACAAAATTAAAGAATTTCAATAAAAATTTTATTTTCAAAACATTGGACAACTTTAGTGCTATTTCACTGCTATTTAAATCGTCTGTAAACTCTGTGTATCAAATAAATACAAATTACAGAAAAAAAAAAAAACCTTCAAAATTACTGCTTAGAAAAGATTAGAAAAGTAGACGATGATGATAAACTGCTGCTATCACTCAGATAATCTAGATTTCCTCCTTTTTTTTTTTTTTCTGTTTTGGTCTATTTAAAGTACTTCTACAAATCTGAATAAAAAATTTTGGTTTTTTTTTTTTTCTTTTATATAATTACATATGCAAATTTATACCGTATTTTTAATTGTAATTTTATAAGCAGCACTTTTTCAGCTTTTTTATATATCACTTTTTAATTTTATCTGACTTTATTACAGTGATTTGAAGGTTTTATTAAAAAAAAATATAAAAGTTGAAATAAAATTAAATATAAAGGAAAAAGAATAAAGATTTAATTCTTGCAAATAATTTTAAAATTTAATCTAAGTGCAAAGGAAAAAACACACATACACACAAAGTTTAATTTTATTGCTGGGATTTTTGCATTTGGTATTACATCGCTGTATATTTTTAACTCTTTGCAATTTTTTTTGTCTGTTTTTTTATCGTATATATTTTATAATAATTGTAGCATAAAGAATATACTGTATTCACAGAAACTACTTGAAGAAACAGAAGGAGAAAAAGACGATGATGATGATGAAGAATATGGAGTAGACTTTGGTTGACGTTGATGCCTATTTTTTTGCTGCTTTGTTCGTTGATACTGTTTTGTCGCTGTTGTCGTTGTCGTCGTTGATGATGTTTACTATTGTCGTCATTGATGACGACGTTGTTGGACGGAGATTCTGTGACGAATAAGTTGTCCAAATGTCAGCAATCATAGCAAACTATTTTAAACGCCCAATGAATATTCCGCTTCTTCGTTTGCCTAACATTGTTCCACGTTGAAACTGTTGCAGTTCGGGTGGCGGTACCGGAATCACTTCTGACTACAAAATAAGCTATAGTCATTACAAATAATTGATCTATACAGTTTGTGATGAAAACACTAGCATTTATCTCATCTTTAACAAAAGAAGTTGATGAGACTGTCTTTTTTATTATGATTCAGTTGCTGAGCAGTGTTTTTTCTTTTTTTCTAACTAAATTACAGTGTAGACTTTACACTGGAAACACATAATAAACGGGCTTTTAAAAAAAAAAAAAGGAAGATATGAATCTGAAGTGAGGCATATGATAAAGAAGCCGCAAAAGAAGAAGAATAAGAAAGAGAAGAAATGGCAAAAGCATGAAAAAAATTTAGAACAGGAAAAAGATAAGAAGAACAATCAATTTAGAAAATGAAAAGTCTGAAAATTCGTTACCGTATACAAATGTTTAAACCAAAAATAGAAAGTTATCTATCATCGTTCAAATTTAATTTGCTCCTTCAACAACAGTAACAAAAAAAAATGTTGCTAAAGCTTTTTTTATTATTAAAATAAAGAGGACATTTATCACTGTATATCAGTCAAATGACATTTTCATAAAATGCTCAAAATTTAGACTTATCTGTTGTACGCTTGCGACTAAGGCAACAAAATTGTCAGCAGTTAACTTGATGATAAATGTTAAGATTAGTTTTATTCATTCGTTTTTTTTTTCTTCTTCTGACTAAAGTAAAGTAATAATGCTTTCATTTGG